TCTGGGTTGGCATCTGTGGTCATTTAAAACTGGGAATACTTTGGTCCAGGCTTTTCTGGCTTTCATAGTTTGCACTGAAAACTCAGCTGTAATCATAATGGATTTTTATATGTGACTTGTTGTTTCTCTTTTGCAGCTTTCAGAATTGTCTGTTTTATATATATAGTGTTTCTACTATGATGTGCTATGGAGAGTTTCTTTTCTGGTCCTGTCTTTTTGATGTTCTATATGCTTCTTGTACTTGTATGGACAGATCTTTCTTTAATTTTAGGAAATTTTCTTCTACAATCCTATTGAAGATCTGGTCCATACCATTATGCTGAGATTGTTCTCCTTCCCATATGCCTATGAATCATAAGTTTGGTCTTTTTATGGTGTCACAAAATGGCTGTATATTCCATTCTTGTGTTTTCTTAAATTTTCCATAATCTTTGCTTGAGTGGTCCAATTCTTCAACTTCATCCTCTAGTGTTGATAGCCTGTTTTCCATTTCATTCATTCTAGCAGTGAGGCTTTCCCCTGTTGTTTCAAGTTGGTTTATTGAGTTTTGTACTTCCTTCTTCATTTCTGCCTGAGTTTTCTTAAATGTTTCTATCTCTTTTGTGAATTCATTCAGAAGTTTATCCCTATCTTCTTTTAGTTCTTTGATTTGTTTGTTCGTGTGTTCTTTAAATTCGTTGAATTCCTTGATCATGTTTGATAGGTAGAGAATGGGCGGGAGCGAGCAGCGCAGACGAGCGGATGGATGAGGCATGGAGGCTCAGATGGAATTCTCAGTGGGACATAGATTTATTTCACACGGGGCACCTTTCCCTCGGGAAGGGAAAGATGTCCATGAAGGGAAAGATGGAAGGGAAGAGAAGGGACGGGAAGGGGGAAGGGGGAAGGGGGAAGGGAAGGAAGGGAAGGAAGGGAAGGATGTCAGGGAAGGAAAAGTGTCCAGGAAAGAATGTCCACGGGTTGTGAGCTGGGACTTTACATATGGGGGCTTTAGGGTGTGGAATCAGGGAGGGGGAAGCAGGTAGGATTAGGGTGTGGAAGTGTCTTCTTTTTCCTCTTAAGATAAGAACTCTGCTTATCTTTGGAGGTCAGAGGAAAGGCAGGCTGCTTCTCAGCAGAGTTTGTAGGTCCCTGTTGGGGAGGGGGAGGGGGCTGCTATTGGAACCCTAACACACTGGAGTTACGAATGGTTGTTAGCCACCTTGTGGGTGCAAGAAACTGAACCTGGGTCCTCTGCAAGAGCACCCAGTGCTCTTAACCACTGAGCCATCTCTCCACCCTAAAGGGGAACAGTTTTTAATCTGGAGCCTGGCTCAGGAAAGATGCTGGTCTAGGGCAGCTGGTGGCCATGCCAAGGAGAGATGCAAAGGCAGATGGGGTGGGAAGAGGCGGCCTCCTGGGGACTGCACTGAGGAGCTGGGTTGGTCTGGATGCAAAGGATCAGGAAGAGGAAAGGTCAGCCCCAGTGTCCCAGAAAGAGGCTTGCAGGCGCTGCAAGCCCAGGGAAGCAGAGGGAGTTGAGGGCGGGGCCAGGCCCAGAAGCAGTGCTTCTGGGGCCCAGAGAAGGCACTGCATTGGTCTGGATGAAAAGGATCAGGTGTCTGGGGCCCCAAGAAAAGGAATGGGGCAGGGCCCAAACTCGAAGGAGAGAATGGTGGTGAAGTTGGGAAGGTGAATGAGGCTGGGGGAGTCAAGGCACGGAGGGCCTAATGGACTTACCCCAGAGAGATGCCTGTGGGTAAGAGAGAGGCCTGTGGCTAGTCCTTCAGGCCCAGGGAAGCAGAGGGAGGTGAGGGATGGGCCAGGTCCAGAAGCAGTGCTCCTGGGGCCCAGAGAAGGCACTATGTTGGTCTGGATGAAAAGGATCAGGAAGCCTTATTGGTTCCCCAGGTGTCTGGGGTCCCAATACAAGGAATGGGGCAGGGCCCAAACTCAGAGGAGAGAAAGGCGGTGGGGATGGGAGGGTGAATGAGGCTGGGGGAGTCACTGCCCAGAGGGCGCAATGGATTTACCCCGGAGAGAGGCCTGCAGGTAGGGGAGACTGTCCTTTTGCTTTTGGCTGATTATTGTAGTCAGGGCCATGGGAAGCAAGGATTCCTCCAGTGGACATGTAGTCCCCCACTGATAACAGCAGGTCCCATGACCCAGTTCTCTGAGCACAAGGTGGGAGCTGAGGGGCCATATGGGCATCACATTTAAATCCTGGAACTCTGTTGATTGTTTCCTTGTAGGTCCTGTTTTGATGCGTTCTTACTGTCTCTATGTCCTCCTGCTTGCCATAAATGGAGTGACTGAGTGTTTCACATTTGCTGCCATGAGCAAAGAGGAGGTTGACAGGTAGGTAACCTAGATGGTTCACCTTTTATCATGGTCTTTGGCCAAAGTGAAGTAACTTGCCAATCTTTTTTTTATTCTGAGCATGGATTTACCTATAGCTCTCTCAGAGGCCACACTAGACCACTAATGTAGTACCTCCCAAGACCTACATTGCCTTGACACAGTTTAACTAGTGTTCTCCCATGGTGGGACTGGGAGGCCATTATTCTTTCTGCTTCCCTTCATCGGGTGGAGGAGAGTATCAGGCCAGAAGAAATATTTGTCCAGGTATGCAGTCAACCATAGGACAAGCTCATCCTCTATTCCTCTGCCTTCTTGCCTGGATCCCTAAGTGTAGTCCTCAGCTCTAGAGGGCTACCAGGTTGCCTTTTAAGATACAAATTCTTGTCTCTAAGAAATTGATTTTAGGTCTCTGAGAATCTCAGGGATTCTGTGACATCTTTCCTCAGAAGAAGGCTCAGATGCATATACACATTTTTGCCACAAGTTTTTCACATCTCTTAACCTCAGATCAGGACCCCATCCTCAAATCTTCACCAGTGGGGATAGTTAGAAATACAGCTTCTGGGCAGACCTTCTGGACCAGCCACAGTCATGTAGGTCTCTGTAAGTCTGTCCGCTTTCCTGAAATCTTGAGGAAGGTATAGTTTCTCCTTTTCTTCTTCATGCCTTTCTTACTAAACATGCTTTCTCTAAGGCTTTGGGCTGCTCCTAGCATCTTGTAGTTCTTCACTTTTTCTCTCAAGCTTCCTTCTCCCAGCCATGTGGCTACGAGTCAGCCACGTGTCTGACCTCCATGCAGGTTTAGAACCTGCATGGCTTCCATAATTTTCTTTCTTTCTTCCCACTATTCACCTCCTCAAGGCAGCTGCCAAGATAACCAGCTCGCCTGCCCTGAGGATTTTTCTTTAAGATTCTAATAAAATTGTAAAAGCTTCAAAAAAAAAATACAGCTTCTGGTTTACCCTACTTCTGCTGTCCTGTCCTGTCTTACCTCTGGAATCAGTAGGCCTTTGAATATGTGTGTGTGTGCTCTGAAAATGCCATCATTCTGCTGTGAACTAGCTTAGTAACTTTGGCCCATACCCATGATCATCCATCTCTTATATCTTAAATGCCAAAAGTCCTAGGACAGTGTCTTAAGACATCACTGTAAGATGAGTGTGAGGACTCAGGAGGCAGAGGCAGGTGGATCTCTATGACACTGAGGCCAGCTTGGTCTGCATAGTGAATTCCAGGTCAACTGTAACTACAGGGAGACCCCTGGCCAAGGGGCCAGCCCATACTGATGAGATTGTCCTAGAGAGTTCTGGTCTCCTCCCCCAAAAACAGAATTGGAGTTTTAGGAGGCTTGATCCAGGAAGATTAATCATTACCAGCTCCAAGCAATTCTGAATCTGAAACTATGGAAACTGCCAGCCTGGGATAGGCACTAGCTGATCTCCATGACCCCATATACATGTAGATGCATATGACAATAGGAAGCATCTCATTGATGCTCAGGACACATTGATACTTTTTATTCTTTCATTCATTAAAAAAAAGCCACATTAAGCCAGGTGTGGTGATGCATGCCTTTAGTCCCAGCACTTGGGAGGCAGAGGCAGGCGGATCTCTGTGAGTTTGAGGCCAGCATGGTCTACATAGTGAGTTCCAGGCCAGCTGGGGCTACTGGGAGACCCTGTTTCAAAAACAAACAAACAAAAAAAGCCACATCACAGACCCAGCACCGTGGCTTAGCAGGTGAAGGTACCTGCTGCCAAGCCTGATGACCCAAATTCAAACCCTGAGACCCACATGATAGGTGGAGAAAAGTGAAAGGTTGTCTTCTGACCTCCATACATGCACTATGGCACTTGTGTGCCCACACATATACACACACAGACTCACAAAATAAATAAATACAAATGTTAATTTAAAAATATTTTATCTTTAATTATATATTGTGTGTGGGTATGTGCATGTGAGTACAGGCGTCCGTGGAGGTCAGAAGAGAGCCATGGATCCCTTGGAGCTGGAGCTGGAGGTATTTAGCTGTGAGTTGCCTGACATGGATGCTGAGAACTGAACTTGGATCCTCTGAAAGAGCTGTACACTTAACTGCTGAGCTGTCTCTCTAGCTCCTAAATATTTTTTTAAAGCCATGTTATAACATGCTGAATTGACTTCACAGTCTATTAGTGGATCACAACCATGATCCAAAATTAGTTGTATAGACACAATTTTCACCTCCGCTAGTTAAATTTATAGCTGTAGAATTGCATTGAGTCTACTCTTTTATCCCATGGATAAAGAGGTCTGTTAAAGTTTTACTTTGAAAATTACAATGTTTTGATTTGAAAGCTGCTTTTAACATTGGCTAATTTAAAAAATATAATTTAAAGCACATGGGAAACACTGTGGCAGAGTAAACTAGGAGCCTGCCAATTGAAGGAAAATTTAATTCATAGTAAATTATTAGTGTGGAGGAAGTGAAGCAGCACTAAACACATTCAAATGCGTAAACAAAAATCCTGTGACCAAATCATGAAGAAATCATGGACAGCAGGTGGTGGCTTTGTTTCCTTTTATATTGGCTATATAAAGCAGCTACAAAGTTATATTGGAATTTTGATAGTATTTACACATCTAGAAAATTGTTTTCATGGTATTAGAAAACAGATGAAAAGCAGAGGCTATGATACCTTTTAATGTAGTTCTGGTCTGAGGGATCCCCCTTTCCTAAAGAGTAAAATGTGTCTGTGCATTGTCTGCAGATGTGTATTGAGCTCAGCACTCCAGGTCCCCACACTGGGCTGAGCATATGGAACACCTGAGGTCATTCCAGACCCTAAATATTCCTTTTCAGTCCTATTAATTTAACCAGACAAAACTCTGGAAGGGTTTCTATGGTAGAATTAGGTGGCTTAGCTAACTGTTAGAATCAAATAGGATGACTTTACACTGAACATTTTACATTATAAATTGGAAAAAACTTTGATACAAATGTGAGCTTTAACCTAACCAACTTCAGGTCAGTCAATGGTTTTCCAAATAAGAACTGAACTTCAGGTCCTCTGCAAGAGCATTACATCCCCTTAACCACTGAGCCATCTCTCCAGCCCAGAATAACCTCATTACATATATAGGATCTGATGGAGTTTTCATTGTATTCTACCAAAGAGTTTTTGCTCTCTTTTGTTAGGAATGTTTTATTTTCATTTTTCTTTTGACAAATACTTTGTGAGCATCTATCTACTCTCTAACAAGCTTTTCATTCCATGTGTAGGTAAGGATGAACTTCTGATCCTTCTGCCTCTACCTGCTGAGTGTTGGGATTATAGGTAGGTGCCACCTTACTGGTTGGTTTAATTTAGTGCTGGGGATTGAATTTAGGGCCTTATACTTGCTAGGATGCTAGGCATATATCTACCAACTGAGCTCCATCCCAAATCCACAAATATTTTTGTTTATTTGTTTGTTTTTGAAGTAGTCTTGACGTGTAGTCCAGGCCAGCCTCACATTTGCAAACCTGCCTCAGCCTTCTGATTGCTGGATTGTAGGCCTGTACCACCATGCCTGGCACACCTGTAGTGCCCCCTTCTCCATCATTATCAACTCTTCCCAGATACCAAAGAGGCTGCACTGTTGAATTTGCCCCTCCTTTAAGTAGCATGAATGAGCTGTTGGTTTCATTCACTATTGCCATTTTACCTGGAGTTGGGGGAAGATGACTTTAAAAGTTTTTTAATGTATGGTTCCATTGCATTAACTCTTCCTGGGGAGATGTGAACTTAATTCTACTCATCTGAGAGCACCAAGGACAAACCAAATTAAGTTTAACAACTCAGTCCAGCTTACTGGATTTGGAATATGGTGAGGAGTTACAGAAATATGGGTGACCCGAAACAGCTGTATCACTGAAAATTTCCACTCCAGCATGGATGACTTCCCCAGAGCTGCATAGATGGAGCCCCCGTCCATCAGCTACCTTCCACTTCTAATCTAGCACCTCCTGAGACCATGTGTACCTGGGGCAGGATTATCACAGGAAGGAGGGAGTGGCTGGAATCCCAGGTGAGGGTCTAATGATGTCCATCAACAAGCCTAATCTTGTTGAGGGTCTCCTTCAGGTAATTACAGCTGCTCTGATTAAGATAGCAATGACTATTAGTGCTAAAAAGACGGCATTGCACAGAACAATCTGTCTCAAACTCCAAGGACTGATGGATCCTATTTTGGTGGCCTGTTACAAAGTATCCATTCAGATTATTGATTACTAATTAGTGAAAAACTTATGGTATGGAGGTGTAAGCTTTTGTATGCCATTGCTCATTAAAAGAGATTTTCTGCTGAGAAGCAAATAAACTCCCTCTGTTGTATTCTGGATGAAATTACATCTCCTTTGTTGAAGAACTATGTATGAGTATGTGTGTTTCTTACCATGTACTGTAATAAAGCCTGTTTCCATTGTACCTTGACCTTGGTCAGTACAAGGACCAATAGCTAGGCATTCAGTCGACACAATGGCTTTCTTACCACAGCTCATGTACAGAACCTGGTCAATGGCTTCTGAGGCTACCTAACTCAGTGGAGCTAAAGGGTTTAGTGCTCTCAACAACTGTGTGATTACAGAGTATCTGCTGTGAGGTAGGCAGAGTCCAGATGCTGGGGAATTTGGTTCATGACCATACCATGGCCTTTAAAAGGGCGGTGGCAGTAATTTTATGATGTCAAGACTGAGTTCCTTCCTTTGCAAAGACCTGAAGGTGACAGCTTTGGAATCAGAAATGAAAGTCATAGCATAACCATCTAGCTCCAGAGTCCAAAGAGCCCTAGAGATGCAGAGGGCATAGGAAGTCTGTGCTAGGATCTGGAAAACACCAAGAAGTGGCTTTTCTCGCTGTTCAGATTGCATTCTGGAGGCCTGCCACTTCATTTGCGTGAGATCTACTGCCTGGGTGCCTTGTATCCCAAGGAAAGCAGAGTGGAATTGGAACGCTAAAGCTATGGGCCAGCAGACAGGTTGGAGTGTGGGCCTACTTCTTGGGCAGGTTACTCAGCCTCACTGTGCTGGTTTGTTTCTTTAGGAAACAAATCTAAGTTCCACAGCATAAGGCCAATGTACGTTTGTTTGCCTGTGTCCCTAGCACTCCTCACAGTAGCTCTCGGAGAGTTACTGTTGCTGCCTCAGTCACATTCTTGTGCTTACATTGGAGACTTGGCCTGAATGGGATTTTTATGTTTTGATTATTAAGTGTCACCCAACTAATATCTTGATGTTTGTTTCCTTTTCTGTTCAGGGGTGAAGGGAACAGTCACATTTCCTTGTTAACTATGTAGTATTCAATGTTATAAAAACCTGAATTGTGGCTGAACATGGTGGCCATACCTATAATCTTAGCACTTGGGAGGTTGAGGCAAGAAATTACACATTCAAGGCCAGCCTGAGGGCTGGAGATGTAGCTTAGTAAAGAGTGCTTGTGGGGCTGGAGAGATGGCTCAGCAGTTAAGAGCACTGACTGCTCTTGCAGAAGACGGGTTCAGTTCCCAGCACTCACATGGTGGCTAACAACTGTCTGTAACTACAGTTTCAGGGGATCTGGTGTCCTCTTCTGACCTCTGTGGGCATTACATGACACAGGTGCACTTAAATACATGCAGGCAATATACTTATACACATAAAATAAAAATAATTTTTTAAAAAAGAATGTTTGCAGCTGGGCGTGGTGGCACACACCTTTAATCCCAGTACTCAGGAGGCAGAGGCAGGTAGATCTCTGTGAGTTCAAGGCCAGCCTAGACTATATAGTAAGTTCTAGGGTACCTGGGGCTACAGGGAGACCAAAAAAAAAAAAAAAAAAAGCTTGCTTAGCTTGTGCAAGGCCCTGGATTTGGTTCCTAGCACCACAAAAGGGAAAAGGGGGAAAAAAAAAAGATTTCTGAAGGTCACCCAGCTCAGGCTGTATTACAAGTTCTTAGGCCAGCCTAGGCTATATAACGTATAGCCTAGCCTGTCTCAAAAACACCAAGGGCTAAGCCAGGCATAGTAGCTCAAGCCTGTAATTCCAGTACCGAGGAGGTTGGGGCAGGAGGGTCACTGCAGGTTCACAGCCAGTCTGGACTACAGAGTGATAACCTGTCTCAAAAACAGGCAAAACAAAACAGAAGCAAGGGCTGGGGATAAGGCTCAGTGGTTGAACACTTTTAAGGTCTTGGGTTTGATCCATAGCACAAAACCAAAAATAGAACATCCCTACACACAAACACATACAAAAAGCCTGGATTATGGGAATATCTGGAATTACATGAACTCGGAGGTCTTTCTGTGAGTTGATATGGCTGCTCTGTTTGAACACACTTGTTCTGCTTTGCTTATCTCCCCAGGTACAATTTCACCATGCTGGCGCTGTCTTCTTCCTTTCTGGTGTTGTCTTATCTTCTGACCAGTTGGTGTGGCAGTGTGGGCTTCATTTTGGCCAACTGCTTTAACATGGGCATTCGGATCACACAGAGCCTTTGCTTCATTCACCACTACTTCCAAGGGAGTGCACATAGGCCCCTGGCCGGCCTGTACCTGTCACCAGTCCTCCTTGGGGTGTTTGCCCTCAGTGGTGGGATTACTGGTATTTCAGAGGTAAGACTCCCTGCAGTCTTCACCTGTTTCTGCTGGCTGTCCACCGCTCTTCCTCTGAGTTTCTCTTTCCCATCCAGCCTGAACCTAACAGATGAGTGTCTGTCCTTCTTACCCTTCCCTGGGCCTCTAGGACAGCACTGTATGATAGATGTAGCAAAAGAATGTCACCAGCGGGAAGAAAAAAGACACCCCCACTCCCACCCCGGCCTCATTACTGCACCTTTTGAGTTGGAAGCTGGATGATAGCTTCTTTCCCTGCTTGTCCTACAGAAGGGTACAGACTGAGGAGTTGGCAGTGACACTAGTTTCTTTCTCCAGGCATTCCTCTGCTGTGAGCAGGGCTGGCCCACCAGGCTGGGACACATCATTGTGGGGGCCATCTGCTTAGGAGTGACCCTTGGGACAGTGTTCCTCACAGAGACCAAGCTGATCCATTTTCTCAGGACTCAGTTGGGCCGAACCAGACTCACTGACAAAATGATATGACTTAAGTGATGCTTGAACACTTGTGGTACCTGGACCTACCATGGGGAGATTCTTGAACAGAACGTGTTGCTGTGCAAAAGCCCTGCTGAGGGCTCTGCAGTGGAATTAGAGCCACCCTGGAGGTGAAACCACAGAGGAAGTATCGTCCACTTGAAGTCTTCCAGCCAAAGGAGGAATGTCTTTTTTAAGTAAAAACCCAAGAGTCCTTTTAAAAGAGACACAATTCTTTTGCCATTTTGTTCTAATCTGCATTTTGCCTATTAATGAATTAATCTCCTTCAAGAATGATCACCTTTTGAAGCTACATGCTCCAACAAACTCTGTCTTGGATGTTAATAAGAATCATCATTTGGCCAAGAAAAGGAGATATAGCCACTGACCCTTCACAGGAATAGTTTTTCTGTACAAGAGGCATGAGCCCTAGTGTAACACACCAAACAGGAACAAAGCGTAGCCTCAGAGTTGTGGCTTTGCTGTGTCAATGCTATGGTCTGAATCTTTAGAGGATGGAAAAGTCTACTCTGAGAAATCTTTGAGACACTGTTTGCGGTCCTGGGGATTGTACTCGGGACCTCATTCATCAATGCCAGGCAAGCTCTCTACCACTGAGCTATATCCATCTCCCCAGCACACACAGTGATAAAGCCAAGAAATGCAGATCACATTTCCCAGAAAGAGTTGAGAATTTTTCCTGTCATGGTAGCACTGTATCCCATATCAGCTCATGTCTTCATTAGCATAGCCACTTCAGTATTCTTTATAGAGTAGGTGACAACTGTCGAATGGCTTTGGATCTAGCCACTTGAAAGATGAGGGCTTTGAGGGAATATGGGCTGCTTTGCCCCTAAGGGGAGTGCTGCTTTATAGCTGTCTATAACTTTTTTCTTTTTATCTTTTTGAGACAGGATCTCCCTGTAGCCCCAGTTGGCCTCGAACTCACTATGTAGACCAGGCTGGCCTTGAACTCACAGATCTGCCTGCCTTTGCCTCCCAAGGGCTGAGATTAAAGGTGTGTGCCACCACACCCGGCTTGCTTTCTATAATTTTTACACATGGACATCACACAGGTGTCTCTTTTTACCCTTAGAATAAAATAGGACAAATTTCATATGGCAAGATTCAGAGTCAAGCCCTTCTGACCCATTATTTCCAACACTGGTCAGTGCAACTGAATTCCAGGCCAGGGCAAGAGTGGCAGGAGGTATGGGCTCAAGGCAACCTCCTGAGCCAGGGTTCCTGACCCTGCACACTGCTTCCTGCAGTTGAGATCATCATGCCTTGCTCTGGGTTGTCAACTGGTTTTCTTTTTCCCTTGTAATTCTCCTTTTGATATGGTTGCCCTTTGGATCTGCATGCACAAACTTTATCTTGACTGTCAATAGTTAATAATCCTCTGACACAATGTCTCCAAATCTTCCATACTTACTTCTAGAGGGTCAGCAAGGGCAATTAGTGTCATGCATTAAATGCATGCATTTGCTTTTTCTTTCTAAAAAAAACATTAATATTGTCGTGCCATGGTGTCTGTATCTGAGGACAGAGAACGACTTTGAGATATCAGCTGTCTTTTTCCTTTATGGATTCCAGGGAATGAACTCAGGTTGTCAGATTTACATACCAAGCAGTTTAACCAGCTGAGCCATCTCACGAGCCTAAAATGCATGCATATAAAACCACTTGACTAAAGTTAGTACAAAGAGGCCCAAATATCGAGCCTCTTTAGTGTTGCTAGCACACTAAAACTGGCACCCAGTCACCTTGACATATTTTGGGTTGGGGGGGTACTTTACCATTGAGCTATACCTCTAGCCTTTAAAATTTATTTTGACACGGGGGCTCCCTAAGTTGCTTTGATTGGCTTCAAACTTGTGATCCTCCTGCCTCTGAGTAGCTGGGATGACAGTAGCATAGGACCACTGTGCCTGGCTACCTAGACATGGTTTTATCTACTCAGAGGCTGCTCTGCACTTATTCAGGGACAGTATCTAAATGCAAGATATCCTAAGCAACTAAGATGATTCAATCATGTTTTTATGAGCTGGGTCAGGCTAGCACAGTAGAATGAGTGGTTCCATGGGGTGGAGTAGAGGGCACAGAAAGCAGTCCTCCCTGTGTATCTTTTTGGGGGCTGGGGGGAGTTGAGACAGAGACTCACCATGTAGTCCTGACTAACCTGGAATTTGCTATATAAATTTGGCAGGCCTCAAACACAGAGCTTCACCTGCCTCTGCCTCCCAAGTGCTGGGATTAAAGATAGGAGCCACTGGAGAGATGGCTCAGCTGTTAAGAACACTGGTTGTTCTTGCAGAAGACCTGGGTTCGAATCCCAGCACCCACATGGCAGCTAACTGTCCATAACTCCAGTCCCAGGGGATCTGAAAGCCTCTTCTGACCTCTGCGGGCATTGCATGACACCAGTGCACTTACCTACATGCAGGCAATACATGCATACACATAAAAAAAAAATTTTAAAGATAGCCACCATGCCCAGCTTCCATGTCCCTTTTCTTTCCTGTGAGTACACAGAATGGGCCTTCAGAGCTCATGAGCTCTTTCTTTCTCTCTGCCACTAGCCACCCCTTCACTCTCCTGGGTGCTTCGTATCTCTGCCACTAGAACCCTATCAATTCATGCTCCCTTGACTCCAAAATGTCCTGGGACTACCTTCCTTGGAACATCCCAGATTTCAGGTTCCTAGACATCTAGGTTCCTAGGACCCACTTCATACCTTCAGAGTCTTTGTTTGGGGGCAGAGCTCAGGGATGAGTTTTGTCAGCAAGCCCACATGACTATGATGCTGCCAAACTTGGTCACCGCCTTAGCAGCAGACTCAGGACCTGTTATGTTCACGCTCACAGTATCTGTTTGCTGCTCCTGGCACCAGCAGCTTGTGACTACCTTGGTTTGGGGAGCAGGACCGCAGGGTTCTCACTCTCAGGTAGAGAGGGGCTCTGCAGCAGACTGCAGGCTCCTCGCATCTCACCTCTCCCCATGCTGTCCACCAAGTGCTGCTGTCAGCTCCTGCTTCTCTTAAAAGATGGTCAGCTGGGTCAGCTGGTCAGCTCCTTCCCAGGCTTTCTTCATGCTCTAGAAGCAATGCATGGATGCATGTTTTCTCATTGCTAACACCTGTCTTCTCAGCTGTCAACACTTTGGACCAGGCCCTCCACAGTTCTCAGCTACCTGGCCTGCTCTCTGACGCCCAGGTGAATACAGCCATGGCCTCTGGTACTTATACTGGATTGCATCCATGTCGGGCAGGCTGCCTCTCCTTATTAAGGATTTTAAGTAGCCTCACTTTCTGGGATTACTCCTTAAAATATTCTAAGAATTCTTTTCCATGGAAACAAGTCTCGAAGACGCTTTCTTTTATAAAAGCTGATGAGATTAACAGTATTGATGGCCTTCTGTGCTCCTCTGACACGTGTAAGTATTGGTCATTTGGACTTGGCTTGGGCTTCCCTCAGTGAGAAACACTGCATTGTTGCGCTGTTTGGTGCTCCTTCCACAGAGATTCCTGGCTCTGGAGATTGTCTTCTTTTCCCAGTCTGCCACTTCTCAGTTTTACTACAAGCACAGTTCTTCCATTCCTGTTTTTTTTTTTTCCTTCCCTCTTTACACCTATATGTATGTTGTTAGTTTCATGACAATACCTTGGTTTAAAACAATAAAATTATTGTCTTCATGGTCTTGTAAAGATCTTTCATACATTTCCTCCCCCCAAAGGAAGGGGGCTTATAAGTAGGGTTAGGCGTGTAGCTCAAGGGTAGAGGGTTTTTCACCCATGCACAAAACTAGGTTTCACACACACACACACACACACACACACACACACCACCCAGCTCCACAAAGTAAACAAGTTCCTAAGGAAGGTAGGCAAACATCTTGAGTATGCAAACTGCTTGTGTTCCTCTGTGTTGGTGGTGTGACTGGGATTATGATTCCTGACTTTGGAAGAAGGAGTAACTAACTGGAAGTCTTCTGTGATTTGGGACAGAGAAACTGGGGCCTCCCTCACTTCTCTCCACACCTCAGCAGACCCCACTGTGTGTTCTATGCATCTGTCACCTAGCTCCTCTCTGGCCTGCTCCTAGTCTTGGTTGGTTTTTAAAAGTTGTTTTATTAAGCAGCCATTCTTTGACATTCTTGGAATTTCAGTGTAGGGTGGGTTTTAGGGAATCTGGGGCAGCCCTTTCAATTAGGTAGTAAAATTTCCTTTCACTGGGCTGGAAGGCTACGAGGACTCTGTGACTCATTCACATACACAGACTTTATTGGGAACTTTGCCTTGGTGTTGAGGAAAGACAGGAGCTGGCAGCATGCAGAACCTGAAGGAGGAGGAACCAGGTGAAAGGTGGGAAGCCTTAGAACGTAGGGCTCTGGGTGCTGCTCTGTGGCCTCCCTGCTGAATGGGAAGAGTTTGATCTTTGGCCCAGTCTAGGAAGAGCCACAAGAAAAACAGGTTGTGCTTGGGGAGGATGAGAGAAAATCAGAGCAGGAAGGGGGAAGTCTTTCAGAAAGTGCTGCTCTTAGTGGAAGGCCAGGTGGAAACAGGAGGTGGGCCAGGCCCCTGCGACCATGTGAAGTGGGGATACAGGGTACTTAACGGTGAGGAAAGTTTTAGGAGCTCAGTCTTGAGACCCCTTGGGAGCTATCCTCCAGGCTCAGAATGCCACTTGTATGTTCTTAATGGCTCTGAAGGAGAGTTCTAGAAGTTACACTGGAAGCCGGGAAGACTATCAGAAAGGATCAGATGTGGAAAGATGAGCTGAGGCACAAGTATAGGGGTCCCATAGGAACTTCTCAAAGGCAAATCAGAACTGGAAAAAGCAACTGAACAAGAATACTGCTCTAAAATGCACATTCTGGGCCAGCGAGATAGCTCAGCAGGTAGCTGCTTGCCCTGCAAGCATGAGGACCTGAGTTCCATCCCTGGAGCCACATAAGGGCAGAAGGAGAAAACCAACTCCACAAAGTTGCCTTCTGACTCCCACATGCATGCCATGGCATGTACTCCCTCCCCCAATAAGAAATAAAATTAAAAATAAGTAAATAAATGATAAAATACAACTTTTATTTGATGAATAGTCTGCAAGTACCCAGAAAGGGACTCGTGTATTTAATTTGGAAATAAGATTTCTGAGCCAACAACAATGCAGGTGAAAAATAATTTGTTTTACTGTTATCTGTTGTACCTGAGTGAATCAGCCCTTAATGTAAATATTTCATTTGCGGACTAGCTTCCGGGAGTAACAAAGTGTTTTATTTGAGCAATTTCAGGATAGGAGAACTCATTATCAGTCCACTTCACTTACCTTGGCATTATCAGTCCTTCTGTTGAGAGAGCCATTCATTTTTAACCAGAACTGTGGGGGAAATGGGCTCTTAATGTAGTTCATCCTCCTTTAGGAGCTTAATGAAGGAAGGTCTTAAAAATACATCTTCCTTGTCCTTCGGATGA